TGTTGAGTTTGCAGGCAGTATATTGAACAATCGTGTATAATATACATATATAATGAGAAAACTTGAAAATTTTATTTTATCAATTAGAAATATTTTCTGCTAAATTACTATTTTTTTCTTAAAAATATATAAGCAAGGTTGAAATAATCTCAAAATTTATTATACTAAGGAAAGGTCTCAAACCCACCAAAACAACACTGATGACAGCATCCTAAACCACCGAGCTAGCAATTATATGCGCTTAGGAGAAAAACAAACCTAATAATAAAACTCTTATATAATTATAACTTTTTTGCTCTTAATGCAATTTTTTAGAATGAACTATTTTACTTAAAAATATAAGTAAAAAATATAAGTTAAAAAGGAATAGATATTGCAATGATTGGTGTGGAATAGATAAGTACAGGAATGGTAGGTTTAGTAAAGATCCTCATTTTATGGTTTTTGAAAGATAGAATATATTTATAAGGAATAGCATAAGAAAAAGTTGGTGTAGCATGAACTTATAAAGACCCGTAGTTTTACAGGTCTGGTCAGCTAGTACAATAATATTTCCAAAAAATGCTTATTATGCCTACAAGAAAAATTTAAAATAATTACACATACGAACCAATTATGTTTATTAAACAAAAAGTCAGAATTGATTTCTAAATGCAGGCATGAAAAGATTCTCCTAAAAATCGATAAAAATAAGTGAGCTCGAGCTCAGTTCCTTTTGAAAGCGTATTTTTTAGAATAAGCAGAAGTAAACAATTTTAAATAATTATTTTTATAATAGTGTCAGTATATTTCACAAATGTGTGAAAATTTACAGTAGTTAAGACATTTATGACTTTCTGTAATTTAATTTTTGGTATAAATTGAAGTTTTATTATTTTGAATATTCATTTTTGATGAGTCTTAATTGATGAAATACAGTGTAAATTGAAAAAAGTTTGATAAGTCATTTTCTACTAATTTATATATATGGGCAATTCCGCGAGAGTGGCGGTCGTAACACTTGTCACTCTTTAAGCTGTTAAAAATCAACCGAAAATGGAAATCACTCAAAACTTTCTATAAACATGAAATACTATCATATAATTTAGAATGTAAGAGTTACAGCATTAAAGTCTTGAAATTATTTCGAAAATTAACTCTACATAATGTGACAGTTGTAAAGTTTATACCATTATAATTTATACCATTTCTAAACAAAACAACTATGTAAGACTTAATCCAGCGAATGAAACAGTAAAAAAAAAACATTCCGGTATGTATTTAGCACATTTTGATATTGCGGTATGCTGAATTTCATAGTTTTTACTTAAAGTTTTACAAGCATTTTCATGTTTTTGGTTAGTGATAGTCATAACGAAAAAAAATCCAATACTAAAAACAACGAGAAAAACAATCCAATCAATGATTAAGAAAAAAGTTATAAATGATTATTTAAAACCATGTAAACTATGTTTAAAAAATGCACTATAAAATGAAAGTTCTCAACTATGGTTTTAAGATATATTTTTTAACGCTACCCAACGGGACTGTAAATAAACATCGAAACACATTTTTACAACCCTTATCCCTTTAAAACCATGTTATGGTATAATTAAATAATTTTTTTTTATAACTTTTTTGCTTAAAGTTTTTTTTTTTTTTTTTTTTTAATTATTAACCTCCCCAAGGCCTGAGGGGGCCACTACAGTCGAGGAGACTACTCATTTTATTTATTTTTTTGTTGTTGTTGTTGTAAACCGTGGTACAGCCCTCTCTCAACTCTTTAACTTCGAAACACAAACCATGACAAGCAAGATCGCTGCGCGAAGAAATTAAGTTGAGCGCGGTACTTCCAGGGGGTGGTGGGAGTCGAACTTTAAACCTCTCGCTTACGAAGCGAGCGCTCTTACCACTACACCACTACCACATTAAGTACTTTTAAATTGTTGAAAAAAAAGTTTAGTATGTGTTTTCATAACTTTTTTGCTGTTTTTTTCCCTCCTTTCTTGCAGAATCGCCCCTATATATATATATATATATATATATATATATATATATATATATATATATATATATATATATATATATATATATATATATATATATATATATATATATATATATATATATATATATATATATATATATATATATATATATATATATATATATATATATATATATATATATATATATATATATATATATATATATATATATATATATATATATATATATATATATATATATATATATATTATTTATATATATATATATATATATATATATATATATATATATATATATATATATATATATATATATATATATATATATATATATATATATATACAAATAGTATTGCATACTAAGGTAAGCAATCTGACGTCATACTGAAATAGCCTCCTGCTGAAGGCTTCAGTATATACATAGACTGACAAACAGCCTGACTCGCAGTGAAGTGCTGCTACATCGACTGAGGGTTTGGGATAAGGAAACAATTGTTTCCTTCATCATTCTTTGTTGTTTTTTCTTCTTTTTCTAAAAAAGCCGTATGGATTAAGGTAAGCAAAAAAAGTGAGCAAATACTTAGAAAAATACACTTTAGTAAGTGTATATATATATATACATGTTCTTTAACTTTCTGAGAAAAAAAATTTTTTTTGTATAGACTTTCACTATTCATGACAAGTAAGAAGCAATTTTTATTAATGATGAGTAAACTTTTAAAGTTACCTTTACTTTTTATGTTATTAAATCAATACTTTGTATTGTATTAGCAAAGAGAATTTTATTTATTTTTTTGTTATTCACCTCCTCAAGGCCGAGAAGGCCACTACAGACGAGGAGGCTACTTAATATTGGTTATAACCCTCTCTTAACTCTATAACTCCGAAACACGAACCTTGACGAACAAGGTCGCTGCGCGGAGAAACAAGTTGAGCGTGGTACTACCAGGGATGTGATGGGGATCGAACTCGGAACCTCTCACTTATGAAGCGAGTGTTTTACCACTACACCACTACCACATGAGTAAATACGAAATATTTAAGTTTGATTAAGTTCGAACTTACAATGTAAGTTCAATTTTTTGAAACATTATTTAACTATTATGGATATCATTTGCTTAACTTTTTTTCAAAATTCTAAAATTGAGTGAGATTTTTCTTATATTGTCAATTAAAAATGTATAAATGAAATATATTTTAAAAATAGCTTTTGATCGATGATAGACTTTTCGAATCTTTGTTAGTTTTTTTGTTTAAGAAATCCTGAAAACGACAAATTTATTAGTATTTATATGACTAATATCTTACTTAACATTTTTGTAACTTCTGTATACTTACATTAATCTCAATATTTTACTAATAATTTATCTTAACCAAACATCCATAAACACTTTTTTTTTTCGAAATTTAATGCACTTGGTTTTTTTTTTTTATTATTTGCATTCACTCCCAAGCAACCACTATTAAGTTGGGAGTTACTAGGAAAAAAAAAGAACAGATTTATAGAGCAAGGAAACGGTTGACAGAAGACTTGAAAAGTTGAAGGTTGTATGAGTCAAAACATGAAGATGGGAGAGAGTTCCAAAGGATTGAAGTGCGGGGAAAAAAACTAGATGAACAAAAGTTTTTAGAGCATGCAGGGACAGATACAGTAAACGAATGAGACTTAGCTGAATGACGAGTAAAACGAGAATGAATTTTAGTTGATGGAACTCGAGATGATAACTCCTTTGAGCAGTGACCATGATAGTATTTGTAGAAAAGAGAAAGAGATGCAACTTTACGACAATGGGAAAGAGGCTCAAGCTTAGCAGATACTCCAGGTCCAACAACATTTACAATGCGTTTTTGGACCTTGTCAAGAAGAAAAAGTGAATCGTTAGAAGAACCTCATTTGAAATAAGCATAAACATATACAAGTCTGAAGTTTGCACAATGAAATGTGCAATCTCCAGACTTGATCTATGTGTCAAAACTCAAACATCTTAAAATCCAGTGCACACTTCTTAGTAATATTTGCAGTTCAATAATGTATAAAAATGTACAAACTCAAAGATTCAATCCATATGAGGGCTAATTTCAAACATTAAAAAACATCAACCAAATATAAATGAAATAGAACAGGCAATTGAATCGCAAAAGATGACCACAAAAAAGAAGAATACCAAAAAACCCCAGACCTGAGACCTAACAAATGAAAAGTAGTATCAATTCTTGACATCAGAAAAAAAAAGAAAAAACAAGACATGCTGCACCCCACATTTCCAGAGTGCAACCTACAATAGGTTGGGTCAATAAAAAAAAAAAACAACCACAGAATCATATTTGAACTAATGGTACTTAATTTTACCCTATTATAAACAACCCAGGGCTTTTTTTAATTGTAAACAATATAACAATTTCTTGAAAATCATACTATTATTACATCAAATTTTGAACTAAGCGATCAAAGAAAAACTAAAAAATTTACTAAATTTTAAAAATCCATCTGAGGTGTTACTAAGCTTAGATAGATGGTCAGTTTTTCAATAAGAAAATGTACAAACAATGTAATATTATGCTGAGAAACAAACAAAATTTGAGAAATAATTTTGTTTCAATTTGGCTTGCTTTAAATTTGGTTTTGGGTTTCAATAAATAACTAAACTTGATTATTCTATCTAAAATTAACTTTTTTTTTTACCAAGTAATTATTGTCTATGGTCCTAGTAATCAAAGCACATGCATTATGGACAGATTTACATAACAAAACTTTCTTTTTGTTTAATTATGATATTGCCAAATTGTTGAAGCAATATTTTACAAGATGCCCTTCCTGGTATTAACCTCTATCACAGACAACTATTAAGAAGATTACATCAAAGATTTAGAAGCTCCTCCTAATAGTTTATAAATCTTGAATCGAATTTATTATGTTAGTGTAATTCTTGTAAGTCAACCATTTCATGTTTCAGTGTCAATTAAAAACAGAAGTAAATGATTTTATTACAAAACTCAAATAACAGTACTTACTTATTATTGATTGGGTCCAACAAAAAAAGTAATATTTCTTTATCTGATATCTTTTCTTTTTCTGTAAGCGATAACAGATTTATAGCTGTAGCATTCAATCCAACTGAACCAACAAGACTTGCCATATCTGCTATTAACAGTTGTCGAAGTATTGACAAATCAGCATAAAGATTAAGAAATTCTAAACATCGATCAGAATTTTCTTTTGCTTTTTTAACTTCTTCGCCATCCTCTGACTTTTCAACAGCACAATCACAATATTTATTGATTTGAAACTTAAGTAGTCCGAAAAAAGTTAGACCCTAAATAAAATATATATTGATGTAAGAAAATTAGATAAGAGAAGAATTTCATTTATCATTGTTTCATCTGTTTTAGTAAATGTCAGGTTTAAACAAGAAATAAAAGCTGTCATGTTTGCCAGAATTCAGGTGATTAGATAAAAAAGCATAATTTTTGGCAGAGACAAAACACATTAACTAAAAAACCTAATCCAAGTCATACTATTTATGTGCATATTGGTACTGTTATAACTTAGGTGGAATCAGACTGAGATAAATCTCAAACTCTCTAGTAAATCTCAGATTTACCTAAGAGTTTGGTACCTCATTACTAGGTTGTCTCAGAACCATTAAACTGAGTTTTAGAATTGTAACTTTATTAGGAGATAATAGAAAAAGTTATGTAGGCTTACCTTAGACAGTGGACCTAGAGGTTGAATAAGCAAAAAATATTTTTTTGATAATTCCTTAAAAAATAAAAAATGTTGATAAAAAAAAAAATATGTTTCAAGATAATTTCTAAGTGAAGATATGTAACTTTGAAGTTGGTGAATTTCCAAAAATTTTAAAGCTCTATAAATATTTAGTAAATTTAGATTTAGTAAATGAATTTTGTTTTCATTTAAAATGGTTTTACTAACATGGAACTTGGTAAACAACCTATGAAAAAGTAGTTTTTAATTTGATATGGATCAAATTAACTTAAAATGTGTAATTTGGTTTAATTACTTTTTTTTTTTTTTCTTTTTGTTGAGTTTTTTGAAATTAACTAGTTAATTTTGTTGTAAACTTGTGTTTTTTTTTAAACAAAAAGACCAGATTAAATCTTAGGCTTGTCAAGTTTTTGTTTTAACTTACCTCTACTCTGACATTATAAATACAATTAACATTACTTCTTTTAAAATATTATAAGAAAAACTGAGGCAAGTTAGCACCTTTTTTTTATTTACATGATTTAAAAAAGTTGAACAGTGAGACAGTTTAGTTTTCTAAAAATTTTTGATTTATTTATGGTTACAAATGTGAAAGATGATGATGAACCCTAACCCTAACTTTTATTTGTTTAATTGATTTTATCTTATTTAATTGATTTTATCTTATTTAATTGATTTTATCTTATTTAATTGATTTTATCTTATTTAATTTTATCTTATTTTTATCTTATTTAATGTTTTCTTGTTTGTGTTTCAGCATAAGTAAAGTAAAATAAAAAATAAATGCAATGGAAAAAATAAAAATGTAAAATACATCACTGAAATTTTTCACATAACTCAATAATTCTGTTAAGTTAAACTTAATAACATATTTAGACATTAAAGAAATACTATTTATCAGTTAACTTACAGGAGTTTGAAAATGTGTGTGAACAAAAAATATATTAAGAAAAATGGGATATACTTTCATAAGTATCAAAAGATATTGATTATGAAGTAGTGGATGTTTACATAACAGAACCATGTGTTTTAAAATAAAAATTTTTAGAGAGAGAGGGCACAGGAACTTGTCAATTATATAAACAACTTTATCACTAATGAATGCCCAGAGTTGAATGTTAAACCAGTTATTGGGTTTCCTTTTATATAGAGTTAATGCACAAAATAACAAAATAATAATAGGCTCATATTGGTAATATACTTTTTTAAAATCATACCTAGAACTAATAGTTTAATGCATTACCTTACACTAAGTAAGGAGCAAATGAGAAAATTAATATCTTTTGCTTTAAAAGGCATCTATTTTCCAACAACTAACAAATTACTTGAAAGAAGAAAAAAACTGCATCCTACAATTAGTCATGTTTTGGATACAAAAGATGTTTCTCTTCAACACAAAAAACTTGTAAAAATGACAATTGATTCTGTTTTAAGCATAATTAAAGATTGATTTTTTTCAGCCTTTATCTAAAAACAAAACCCAAACTTATAGTCAATATATGTGCTAAAAGCATGCAGCGGCTTCAGTTTATGATATCATATTGAAACAGTTAACTGCAGTTAATCGGTTCAATATGATATCATCATCATGAAGTTTCTTGCACAGCTAAACCCATATAAAAATGCTTGCTTTTAAGTCAAGAGGTTCAATTTTAATTAGTCAAATTTTCCAGCCAAAATAGCCACTTTGACTTTGGCACAGGTCATAAAAAATACAAATTAAAAATAGTCAACTATAACCTTAACATGCAATAAATACTCACATATAATCTACTTTGACTTGAAAATTTAACAAATTTTGTGACTTATATGCAATCATTTAGGATATATTTTTTTACGATATATGCAAAAATATATATATATTTGCTTATTTTTTTTTTTAAATGTGGTATATAAATGTGTTGTTTCCTCAAAAAATGTAACCCGATAAAGTGGCTTAACAGGGTAAATGGAAAAAAAATTTTTACCAACTATAAACAATCCTTTAAAAATAAAAAGTATTCAAAAGGCACCATGCTGTCAAAATACATATGGGTATTGAAAGATAAAAAAAAATGACGATTTTATATTGAATTGGTCCATCCTTAAAACAGCACCTGCATATAATATTTCCGAATGCATATTAATTATGTGTATACTAATTACATTCAATATTCAATTGCATGTGTAATTAATTCAATTTATTCTTGTAGGCATAAGCCTACAAGAATAAATTGAATTAGTTACACATGCGAACAAGAATGTTTGTTAATCAAAAAATCGGAATTGATTTCTAGATGCATGCATGAAAAGAAGTTTCTCCTAAAAAATTATAAAATTAAGAAGAAGCGGATCTAGGGTTCGGCACATTAGGTGGCTGCCTAAGGAGAAATATTACGCCAGGTGAATAAACCTTTTACTTTTACTCAGTAATTGGTCACCTTTACGTAAATAAAAACTTCATCTGTTTTGCTCTAACTTTTATTCGCGTAAAGCTAAGTAACTTACTCAGTAATTGTTCAGCTTATTGTGAATAAAAACTGAAGCAAAATTGCTGAAATTTTTTACACATAAAGCTGATCAACTACTGAGTAAAAGCAATTGCTTTTTTTATTTACCTGGCTTATTAAATTACTATTATGATGTAATTAATTTTTTGTTTTAAAATTCCATCAGGCATTTTTTATTATTCGCAGCATTGCTGACAAGTAACTTACCTACGATAAGCGCAAGAGTGTTACAAACTATGATTAAGCATAATCGGGCTTGGTCAGGAAGCAGGTGCGATCGCACTTGATTACTGACCACAAAAATAATATTCAGTTGCGACAACTTGGCCATATTTATTAGATGTTTTGAGAACATTCAATGTATTTTTAAAATTTTGTTTTGCAGACATACATGGAAACATACATTCAGAATATTCAAGTTTTTGAATTTGAAAAAACTTTTCAAATTCAAAAACTTGAATTTGAAAAGTGTTTTACGGCCATACATGGAAATATACAAAAAATTAAATGTTTTTAAAACATCTTGGTGCGGAATAAAGAATATTAGCAAACACTAAAAACTCTCCAAATCTACAAACAAACTAATTCTATTAGTTCAAAAAAAATGCTGACTATGCGAAGTAATGTTCTAGAGTATTCTGTCTTAAAGATTGTATTTGAAATTTCTAGCGTTAATTGTTATAAAAATATGTTATCAAACAATTATTTTAATTAAATATATTATTTAAATTTAATTTATTATTTCAATTTAATTTATCATTCACGGAAACACGTCTGCAAAGCCTCAAATATTTTAAACTATTAATTGTTTACAAAAATAGAAGTTTTGAATACATATTTTTTAAATTATCAAAGTTTTGTAAAGCTTATTATATTTAATAGATTTTAGTAGTATATTATTATTTTTTAATAGATAAAGTAATAACAGATAAAATGTTTTTTTTTAAGTAAATGTAATTTGTTGTATGTGTTTTTTATGTTAATGTGTTTCTTTTAAAGCAACTTGTATGATTGATTTTGTAAATAAAAAGACTTTTAACAACGACTGCGTTTTCCATGAAATTATCAATAATTATCAATGTTAATAAAACTATGTATAAACATACAAGAATAAACTTTCCAAACTACGTGAAGCATGAAATAGTCAATAAAATAATATTAACTTTTTTATTTACTAAACTAGCGTTAGTTTTATTAGAATCTTGTTGCAATTAGACAAAAGTATATAAATATAAGAAATTATATTATACTCTTTTATAAATAGAAGATATATTCGTATTCGTATAAGATAATATTCGTTTCTTTATTAAACAATCATTAACCCTGTAACCATCACCTAATTTTGGTGCGCAATAGCTCCAGCGTCAGGTTAATTTTTAAAAAATGCAAGTATTATATAAAATGAACAAAAAGAGTCAGAAATGTTGGTAAATTATATTAAAAGTTTAATTAAATCCATAATATATTAAAAGACCTTACAACAATTTAGACGTATTATTTTAATACATTATGATAATTCTCAAATCAAGGTAAAACCATAATCGAACGTCACTTTTTTTTTGTAATAAGCCACAGTATATAAGCACAGCTAAGTACATTTGATTGTTATTAATTGTCTTCAGATATGGATAGACTTAGAATGCACTTAACCTATATTGCTTTGATCTGAACATTTATTTGTCACGTTTACTGTCATATCTACAAGTTCAGTTGTGAATAAGAGTTCAAAAATCTCCAGCTGGCCATCTGGTATTACAGACTCATGGACACATGAATCACAATGTAAGATTTGCCTGCACATACCTAATACAGATTTACTGTTTATCCAACAAAAATTTTTGTTTGTTTTTTTTACAGTCATTTGCTGTCTTTTACGAGTTAGAACAACGAAAGAAACAGGCTGGGTAACAATTACTTTATTGATTTCAGTAATTGATTTGTTCATAACATCATCACTGCTTTTTTCAGTGAATATGTCTGCCATCCTATAATATCATCAAGGTCACCATCACTAAAATCTGAAATTTCATTGTCACTTTCAAGCATAATGTTAACAATATCTTATTTTAAGTTCAAGTTTGCATCACTACCTTTTTTTTCACAATTTGCTAATTTAAAAAAGTGTTTACTTTAATTCATATTAAATCAGTTACACTTTTACAAAAATTGCCATTATTAGCTTAAAATTTCTGTAGAAGAATATTCTAGAATATAAGACTGGTTTTACTGCTTATAGTTCAGTATTGTAAGTGTCACTCTTCTTCAAACAAATATATGCGTATATACGTCAACACCGTTTTTCTAAAGTTCTTTCTTGCGTATATATACGTCATTAACGGTTTAGGGGTTAATAGTAAGTTGTTACTTTGTATTTAAAATGTTGCATAATTTATAAAAAAATTATAAAAAGAAAATATTAGTTCTGACGTAGTTCATTTTGTTTCAAGTTTTTATTTTGCGTTAAAAACTTATTTAATTAATTCTTTGCTTCACACAAATTTTGATATAAAAATTTAGCAAAATTTATGTTTGCTTTTCTAAACTTCCTTTTTTTTTCAAAAACGACCCCACTTAAAAAATTATGTGGTACGAGCTTGTTTTCTTAGTTTTTTTTGTAATTGTCTCTCATCAGTCCATTTAAATCTTTCTTAGCGCTTTTTTTTTTTTTTTTGGAAATGTTCTCAAAAAAACTAAAGAGCCGTGGCCAAATTGTCGCATCTAAGTATTGTAAATGTGGTCAGGAATTGAATGCGATTGCACCCACTTCCCGGCTAGGCCTGCTTTTAACTGAAGAAGCTCAGAAGAGTAAAAAATAAAGATGTCAAAAAATTTTTGAGAACACTTAGCAAGAAAAATTTCTTGGAAACTCACAAATGAGGATGTAATGAGATTGTTCTGTTCATCAGACATTTTCATCATCTCTATGAGGCAAAGTTCAGAATTAAAGAAGGAGCTTGTTCTTCCAGAAGAATGTTTTGACCTTTTATTGTGTATTTCTTAATAAAAATATATTCTTCATATCTAACTGCTTGCTGTATTGCAACCAGTTAGATATAAAGATGTAGTTCCTTAATAGATTTGGTTTATTTATAATATACTTATATTTATCATAAGTATATTATAAATATTTATAATATACTAATTTACTATGTTTATATTATACAAAAATGAATATACAAATGCACTTTTTTTTCAAAATCAAGATGAGACACTTAATTGATTGTTATTTTTGCTATTTATAATAATTTGCTATTTATGATAAAGAGCCCTTTAATAATAATAATGTTTAAAAAGTTTATAATAATAATGTTTAAAAAGTTTATAATAATAATGTTTAAAAAGTTTATAATAATAATGTTTAAAAAGTTTATAATAATAATGTTTAAAAAGTTTATAATAATAATGTTTAAAAAGTTTATAATAATAATGTTTAAAAATGGTTTTTATATAAACATTGAAAAAAATTATTGTTCTTTGAAATCTTGGTGCTGAACCTATATTACATACATTTCATTTTGTTATATGTTCTTACTGTGCATATACACCAAAAAACACTTGTGTCTAGGTATTTATGATGTGTCCTTTGTCTGGTTTTTTCAATAATGTAAAATATGTGTTATAGAAATAAATTTTATTATAAAGATCTAAAAATATATAGATATTAATGCAAAACACATGTCACATGTTATATCATGTACCTCTTTATTATTGTTATTACTACTTTTTTTAAAATTTTTCCCTGTTACACCTCTAGGTTTTTTCTATATAATCAAATAATACTGGATTTAAAATTGTTTTGAATTAAAAGTATTTTAAGAGGTCCCAACTGGCCCATGAATATTTAATGGGTCCTTAATATTATTAAAAAGAAACATTTCTTCAAAAGTATGTCAAAATTTTAGAAATAATCATAGTTTTATATAAATATTATTATTTTAGTTTTAGTGCAAAAAAACTCAGCAAAAAAATCTTTTTTATATGAATTTTGGATAATATTAGATAAATATTCTTATTTATCTAATACTATCCAAAATATTTTTATAAAGTTTGGATAATATTAGATAAATAATCAAGGGTCAGTTAAAGCCCCCTTAAATTTTTTTTTTCTAAAATATTATAAATTGAGCTTTATAATATGAACAAAAGAAATTTTCCAATAAAGTAATTTTCACCTCACCCAAATCTAAATATAGCCAACCATACTGTGTGTATGCATATAGCAATTTTAATAACACGCTTTAAGAAAAAATAAATAAAAACAAGTGTAACCATATCTAAAATACAAACCCGAAAACCCTGATTATAAAGTTCAGTGGCTTGATTTTCTGTAATAGAATTTTCTTCTCGAAATTGATTGACTGAATTTCGAATGGAGTTAATTGCCTTCTTCAAACCCTCTGCTTCTGCTCTTAATTCATCTGCACGAGCACGAGTCAGGGCGTCATCAATTACTCGTTTTAACATTCCTTCTTGACTTTCTTCTGCTTCTGTTATTAAAGTAAAAAATGATGAAAAGAATTTTTCCAACAGTTTTTCCCGTTTAACAAATTTTCTATTTTTTTTAATTTATATTATAAACATTATTTACTTGATATTTTTAAACATAATTTTTTTGCATAAGTCTATGTTTACCATTTTCAGAAATTATTTTAAAACTATTGTATTGGTAATTATGATCAACTTTCATTGTAAATAATAAAAAATTTTATGTAAATGATTAAATGAAATTATTCTCAAATCAGTAAACTCAAGTAAATCCTCTTTCTTACAATATAAGGTGTTAGTCACACACTTATTCAAATCATATTTAAGACTTGAATAATGTTCAACTCATATTTTTAGTCCACGGAATTAGGAAAAATGAACATTAAAATTTCTAAAATTTTTTAAATTTAGAAAACCATATATTGATGATAAATGTAAAGCTTTAACATTAGACTTATACACTATTTTAACAACAACATGTCTTCAGAAAAAATTTGTACGACCAACCTAACAATCGCTAACTTCTTAGACGTTACATTTGCCTTTTACAACCTTGAAAAACCGTTACAAAAAACGTTACAACCTTGAAAAAGACTCATATCATCCTTTCAAAAAAACAAATAGCAACCTACTTTACATCCACACTGAGTCCAACCACCCCCCACAAATTATTAAACAAATTCCGATTGCTATCAACGATAGGTTATCCCAGAATTCTTCTGATGAAAAAATATTCAACTTGGCAAGGGCAGAATATGACGAAGCCCTAAAAAGAAATGGGTTCAAAGATTTTAGCTTCAAATACAAACCTAAAATTGATGCCAAAGAAACCCCCAATTGTAAATGAAAAAGAAATATATTCTGGTTTAACCTACCATATAATAAAAACATTCTCACAAATATAGGCAAAACCTTCTTACAATTAATCGACAAACACTTTCCAAAACCAAATCCACTTCATAAACTATTTAACCGTAACACAACAAAAGTCAGCTACAGCTGTACAAGCAACATAGCAAAAATTATAAAGAACCACAACAATAAAGTTATTTCGATGAACCCAAAGGTCACTTTAACTTGCAATTGTAAACTAAGCAAAATCTGCATTATGAATGGAAATTGCAGAAAAACAAATGTAATTTATAAGTGAATTGCATCATTCCCAAACACACCCGACAAAACATACATTTGTTCAACAGAGGGCATGTCGAAAACTAGATGGGCGAATCACAAGCAATCCTTAGAAAATAAAAAACTCACAAATGCAACCACTATTCTAAATATATATGGGATACACAAAATAAAACAAAAATAACACCCAATTTAAAATGGTCCGTCATAAAATATGCCCCCGCGTACAACAACATAACCAAAAAATGCTTGTTATGCTTATACGAAAAACTATTTATGTAAAAAAAACGAACTAATATCTAAATGTCGCCATGAAAACAAGTTTTTGCTGGACAACCACAAACCAAAAGATTAGATTTTTTAACTCATTTTCTTTTGTACAGATTTATTATTTTTACGAGAAAAAAAAACATATTTACACCTGATGATTGTATTTAGCATGAAACTAATAGTTGTGAAAAATATGCAGTTTTATATATAAATAATATATGTAAATACAGCTCTGTTTTAATTTAAGTCATTTTAATTTACTTTAATTCATCGAGCACTCTTGCGAAGATTTATGCAAGCACTAATACGTATACATATATATATATATATATATATATATATATATATATATATATATATATATATATATATATAATATATATATATATATATATATATATATATATATATATATATATATATATATATATATATATATATATATATATATATATATATATATATATATATATATAGTAACTGATTTTAATTTAGTTAAAGCATATCAAAATCTTTTCTCTTTTTAAATCCGCATTCCCATTGTTTAGAGCATTTCTAGAGCATTTCATAGAGGGTTTTCATAGAGTTATTTTTTTTTTTTTGTAATTAAACTTATTTGTAATTAATAAAGCTTTGTTAAAGATTTTTTTCTTTACTTTAGATTGGAACCAGGATAAATTATGAATCTTAATATTATCTTGTTCTTCATAAATTGGTATAAGCAATATAAATCTGTGGCTATAAACAGTTTATACAAAGCATAGAATAAAAAAAATATTATACAATGGTCTGCTTAAAATATATACGACCCTACACTCTACATTTTAAAGAAGGTCATTCATGCAATTATACTTATATTCACAAAAATATCTAAATTGTTTTTTATAATTGTTGTTAAATATAAATAGTTTTTTTTGTTGTCTTGATAATCATAGTAATAATGATAGTAATAACGTTATATAGTAATAATAATTTTTCGCAAATAAGCTAAATTACTAAATTACTTTTTATTTTACCAAAGCCCGCTATTTTCAGATCACAAAATCTTGCATTTTATCTCAAAAAATCTCTTGAGACTTCAAGAGATTTTTTGAGATAAAATGCAAGAATCTGGAGAAAATCTGGAGAAAGTGTAATATAGAAAATTCTGTTTTTCTACCTCTCTTGCATGATTAAGATTTTGTTACCTCTCCTAAAGACAAAAATGAGTTGTAAGATGAATTCAGAACTTTTTATCAATCTCTTCTCTTGATTCCACTAATCACATCCTACATGATATAGCCAACAAACAGTTTGATTGACATTGCTTAATATATGTATCACTCCAGCTACTTTATCTAAATTGAGTAAGAAAGTGTCAAGCACAATAAAGAGATGCAACCTTAGCAGATACTAATTTTGCAACAGATTTAATATATAGTTTCCAAGAAAGATCGAAAGTAAGAGTTAATCCTAGAAGATGAAGGGTAGATGACTCGTCGAGTACATCACTGTTCATAAGTAAAGGAAGATCTAAATTATTACAGTAATGATTGGCTCAAAAAAATTAGGTTTTATCTGAATTAAAGTTCTCTAGCCATTGCGAGCCACATGTTGTAGCAGAGATAAGATCTTTTTCAAGCTCAAATGCCCCCTCCAAGTAATCAGAGTGCTGGCTTCTTATCAAGACAAAAATAAATGGCAGTATCATCAGCGAACAATTCCACCATTGATGTGAGAATATCTGGAAGATTGTTTATGTAAATTAAAAAGAACATAGGGCTAAGGATGGGACCTTAAGGACCCCCTGAAGTTACAGGATATGAAGAAGAGTGCTGCCCATCTAGGACAACTTTTATTCTACGATTGGTAAAGAAGGACTCAATAATCTTAAATATGATGATACCTGATACACCATACAAACAGAGCTTATGGAGAAGACCAGCATGCCAAACTTTATTGGAGGCTTTAGAAATGTTGAGACCAATAACCTTAACTTCTCTAGATTTATCTAATGCACGACAAAACCTATAGGTTATTACCGTTAAAAAATCAGCAGTAGAATGAGAAGATTGATAACCATATTGATGATCAGAAAGTTATTATATTCAAGATGAGAGATTAAGTGTTTTTTAATTAAAGACTTAAAAACCTTACTTATGATAGGAAGAAGACAAATGGGAGCGTAGTTAAATGAGTCAGATCACTCTCCAGAATTTTTGAAAATAGGGATAACAGATGCCACTTTCCAGCGAGCTGGAAAATAAGACCCAGATAAGTACTTGTTATATAGTTTTGAAAGTATATACGACAGGTTCCTGCTTAGACTCTTCTACAGCTTGTGGTCCAGACAACATACCTGTTATAGTCTTGCAGAAGTTTTCTCTGGAGCTGTTGTTTATACTTTCAAAACTATCTGGGCATTTCCATTTCTGTGCGTGATTTTTTATTTTTCTTTGTTTTACCAATTAAAACCTGGGACTTTATGCAATATGTATACTATTTTGATTTTCTTAAAGAACAATTATAACTAAAGTATTTTTATCATATTTTAGGCTATCTGAATAAATTAAATATACAGATTTTTACAATTTTATTTTTTTGAGTAATAATATCGCTACATTTTGAAAAATATACAATAATTTTCAAAACGCCATACTCTAGCTAGAAATAATTGATGACTGCTGTTTCTCATCGAAAATATATTAAATATGAGTCGCAGAAGTATAATATTTCACTTGAAATACTCACAAGCAATTTATTTTCATAAAAATAACTACATGAAATTGACAAATTTGCAACATCCGTGCGTGACTTCCATGCGTGATCATTCATAAACTGCATTTAAATGATTGCTGTGACTCTATGATTCATAGTGCAATCCTGTAACTTTCTGGAAATCTTTACTAATGTTTAAAATATTATTTTTTAAAAAAAGTATATCGGTGAAACTTATATTGTCCGAGGAATTAAAGTTTATTTATCTAGTAACTAAAATAGAGGTTTTTCTGCTCCGTGCGTGATTCCATTTCAAACTTTATTTATTTTTTGTTAACATTACTAATTCTTACTATTTTTTGTTTACAAAATATTTATATTGATTAGAATTAAATGAGAGTAAATTGGAGATTGCTAGTTTTATTTTTATGAAAATAAAAGTAAAAACATATACGAGTTTCCGTGCGTGATTTTTTGGAAATGCCTATCTAACAAGTGCTTATCAGAGTCTTGTTTTCCAGTCTGCTAGAAAGCGCCATCTGTTATCCATATTTTCAAAAATTCTGTAGAGCGATCTGACTTGTTATGACTATCGTCCCATTAGTCTTTAGTAATATTGTCTTATATAGTCATTAGTTACAGGTGATTTAAAAAAATTATATGAATCAGGAAAACAAGATGAAGGCAGCGCATCCTAAAGAATTTATGTTCGAGGAAAAAAACTAAAAGAATAAGAGTTTTTGGAGCACTTAGGAACAGTCACAATAAATAGAAGAGACTTAGTTGAATGACGAGTAACTTTAGAATAAATTTATAAAGCTCTATAGAGCAGCCCCCATTATAGTATTTGTAGAAAAAAGAAAGAGAAGCAACATTACGAAAACATGTTAATGATTAAAGATTGGCTGCAAGAACAAATCCAACTATGTTTACAATGCGTTTTTGCACTTTGCCTAAAAGAGAAAGAGCATCATTTGAAGATCTGTTTCAGATATGACAATAGTATTCACTACAAGGATTGATTAGAGATTTATAGAGATAAAAAATAGAATATGGAGTAAGAAAATGATAAAAAAAGATGCAACCTTAGCAGATGCTAGTTTTGCAATATTTAGATATAATTGTTTCCAAGAAAGATTGAAAATAAGAGTTAATTGTAGGAGAAGATGGGTAAATGACTCATAGATTACATTACCATTCATAACTTGATTTATTTATTGCAACACTTGATTTTAACCGTTTTGCATAATCTATATCGATTTTTTATCTATTCCAAAGTCTTTTGAACTCATGATAAATAGTTTCTCCTGTTTGCTCATAGTAAACTCCTAGGCTATGGTCAGTAGAATGAAAGGAAAAAAATAAATAGCATACTACTATGTGTATGTAAATATAGTAGTACGTCTGTTGTTGTTTTTTGTTTTTAATCTGATTCCGACAAGAAACTACAAGAAAAAAAATAACAAATTTATAAAGCAAGGAAATGGTTGACCAGATGCTAATTTAGAAACCAATTGTATTTATGGTTTCCATGAAAGGGTAAGATCAGTGAAGGGTCATAAAGAAGAGGATTCAAGTGAAGGGTCATAAGAAAGGATTCAGTGAAGGGTCATAAAGAAGAGGATTTAACCAAGAAAATGAAAATGAAAATTGATTTTAGAAACCAAGAGCTTTAAAGCAGGGGAATTTTAATCATTATCTTGCTTTATAAACTTCATCTTTTTTCTTTAAATAACTCAATAGAAAAATCTATGCGTTGTTTTTGCTATTGTAAAAAGATAACATAATTTGAAGCTGCTATAATGCATTGATAAATATAATAGACGTATATATAAAAGCTACAAAACTAGAACGAGCTTTTAAAAAAATGTAATATGAAAGAAGATTGCAATTAATGAAATCAACATCACTAGAAGAGTGTCGTTTATGAAGAGATTAGTTTAAAAACTCAATATGTAAAGCTCAATTAAAGCATTACAATTTTCATGGTCAAAACCAAAAGTTTATGCTATTATAAGAACATCTAAAGCTGTTACAGAACAACATCTTCTGTTATTGCGCTCGACAATTGATTTCATCAATTATTACAGTGTATATTACTATTATTATTATTATTATTATTGTTATTATTATTATTATTATTATTACTATTATTATAAGCATATATGATTCTAATGTATACAACATCAGAGTTATATCTCTACACCAGTGCTGTTCAACTGCATTTGGTTGGGGTTCTAAAAGCTATAAAAGACAGGCAGGTGGTGTAGAATCTACACAATATATAACAGATACAAGATGTAACACTTTTACTCAAAAACATCTAAAATACTTAAAACTAGGCCTAAACATAGAAGAAGTTACTGTGACAAATAAATGGTAAATAAAACTGTGACTAAGTTCTTGTCAAAAAAAAAAACACTTAAGTAAAAAGTATACCTTGAGATCCCCCAAATAGTCCAAAAACCATTGAAACAAGACTTAATACAGTTGAAAGTGCAGCTCCCATTGGACCTGCTAAACTAGCCAATGTTCCTACAATACTGAGGCCACCAAGAAGCATATCTTGCCAACTTCCACTACTTATGCCACCAACAAGCTGAGTTAAACCATCTCCAACACCACTTATACCTTCTATGATTTCTAAATTTTAAAAAATTAAACTGCTTAAATAATAAAAAATTTTGATTTTGGTTCATTTGAATAACATTTTGTCACAAATATTTAGGACATTAAAAAATATAATATACAAAATATAATATCTTACCTGCAAATTTTTCATTATTGCCAATCTCTTTTACTTTTTCTTTAGCATTTTTAACACTTTCTTTGAAATTTTCTTTCTTTTTTTCATACTTTGAGCCTCCTTTTGGATTTAATGAATTAGATTTCTAAAATTCAAACAAAAATATTAAATAACAATTACAAAATATTATACTATTATCTTTTAAATCAAATTGCCAAATAACACAAAAAAAATGGTCATTCATAAATTTTATGATAAAACATTCATAAAATCTACAATTACAGACAGTCTGTCTACATCTGTCTGCGCAGACAACTGTAGACAGATGTAGAAAAAAGACAGATGTAAAAATGATTCAAATATATTTTTTAATAAAATAACTCTAAAATTACTATTGTAATTTTAGGTAACTGTAGACATTCTTTATGCTTGCAGCTGCAAGCTTGAAGAATGTCTGTTTTAACAAATTTAATGCATAACTTACTATTTTTTAAAATAATAATTAAGTCTAATATGTATACCAGATTTTTTAAAAATAAAGAATATATTTTCGATCAGGGCCGGCTCGAGTAGGTGTCACATAGGGAAGGGGGAATGCCATAATAACTTTTGCCTACTAAAAAAAAGTCCTCGTTTTTGTCTAAGCATCAGCTGACTGACTGTAAAAAAATGGTCAAATTTGTTGACTAAATGAACCAAAAAATCATTAATGGGTATATGGTCATTAATGGGTATATAGTCAAAATTCTCATTATCACTTACAATAGGAATAGGCAATGATTTAGTTCAATTAAGAAAATATATGTAGGCTTCCTTAAATTTGTCATTTGAAAATTTGTTCTTTAACATAAGTTACTTTATATTCCATGCTTCATTACAAAATCTTCCAGCCCACTTTTTTAAATAACCAACTATTGTGGTATAAAATAAAAATACTTCAACAGAAGTCACATTTTTTTTTTTTTTACTTAAACTGATGATATATTTTTAGCATTATATTTTCAATATTTATTGGAATTACACGTAATTTTCTCTCTGTAAATTCTTTTCAAGATTTGCATGGATGTTACCTACAGTTTTATTAGTTAATAAAGCACCAAAGTTTACAGTGTTATCTGCAGAAAATCCAATAACATTATATTGTATATTGTAAAAAGTTAATATCTTTTAAAATTATATTAGCTATTGTTTCTGTAGTTTCATTTGGAAGGTTATGAACTTTTAAAATAAAAAAAGTCTTGTATTTTAAAAGTGCATGTGATGCATCAAACCACGAAAAAAAAAAAAAATTTCTGTGGTTCAATGCATCACATGCAACAACAAAACGTTTGCTTATTGCACATCTTTTTTAAACAAATCTTCAGATTAATTTAAAATTAAATTGTTAATAAGACACTTTGACGTTTTCCACACGTAATCTTATAATTACAAGATTTTCTCAAAAATTTGATGTGCAGTCTATATCCCTGAAAGAATGGCCGTGTTTTACGTTGTGGTATGACCATACAAACTCAATGATTTTAAGTTTTCATCATAAGCAGCTAAAAATTTAAAGAAAAAAAAAGATTCTAGCTTTTGTTTTATATTTTTTAAACTTTGTGTTTATGTGCTGCGTGTTGAACAATATTGCATCATTGTCATGGTAAAAGAAATATCAGCTTTGAAAAAAATACTGCTTAGATCTTCGCAAAATCATTTATTATTTGTTTATTTCAAATAAATAAATTTCTTAAATCATTAGTTAAAAAAAAAAAGAGTATATTTTGTGATTTTTAGAAAAAGAAACAGTATAAAAAATTTTACGTCATAAAGAGTATAATACTCTAAAAAAGAGTACGTCTGGTCACCTTAAAGCCTAATAATTTAACAAACTTATTTGCATAATTTGATACAAAATAGAAAAAAAAATGAAAGTGATTGACTTGAAAAACTCTAAATTGTTTATCAAAAAAATATAAAGACAGGAGAGAATCTAAAGAAATGAAAGAAAACAAAAAAACTGTTGTAAACCAAAAAAAAAAAGTTAGCTTTAAACTTAGATAAAGTAATACGGAAATTAGCTTCAAACTTAGCTGGATGATAAATTGAGCATTGAAAAATGCGATTAAAGTTTAAAGATTAAAGTTTGCGTGTGCAGAAACACGGTAGAATTTGTAGAAAAGATAAAAAAATGAGCCAGAAGCTCAGGCTTAGCAGCTAGAACAGGTCTAATAACACTTTCAATTAGCCAAGTTTATTAGACGTGATCTGCTCACTTTGTTCTATTATTATGTTGGTGAGTTGTACGTGTTAGAAATCACGTAGATGCGTGTTGAAAGTCACGCATCTACGTAAGTTATTTCAACTGTAATTAACAGTATATTCTCATGGGACTTTTTAATTTAATATATATAGAGAAATAATTTTTGTATAGGATGTTAGAAAGAATATATAAAGCTGTAGATTATAAACGTTATTAAATTAAATAGACGCGACGATAAAACAAGCTATTTCGGCCATTATGCCACCGGTATTCGATGGCAACGATCAGCGGTTCGTCCGCCAACTACGAACATACATAACTGCGATGGACGTACCCGAATCCAAAAGAAAAACAATAATATTAACATGTTTGCCACCACATATTTATTCCGCACTAGAAGATCTATGCTTGCCAGCATACCCTGAAGATGACTCAGTTACCTACGAAGACATCGAGGAAAACATCATGAAGCTTTTTAAACCGAAATCATCGTTAATACTACGCTTTGAATTTGCAACTATAAAAAAAGCAAGTAACGAAAATGTGACGGAATTTTCACGACGGATTACAAGAGCTGCTAAAGGATGCAAATTCACGGATAGAGATGATCGAATGCGCGACCAATTCATCACGGGTTTTAACGATGGTGTTACAATCAAACGGTTACTACTGGAATCTGAAGAACTAACTTTTGAAAAGGCTGTGGAAATAGCTGTTACCCTTGAACGAGTAACCCAGGAAGCTCGACAATTAGATGGTTCCGAGAATGTAATGATTGGCGCAACATCGTTACTTTCACGGACGTCTGGTGCGTCCGACATAAACAAAGTTAAATGTTTCAATTGTGGAAAACTTGGACATTTTGCAAGGGACTGCGAAGAAAAATGCAAGACTTGTTCACACGATCATCAAGCTAAAAACTGCTTTAAACGATTGCAAGGTTTAAAAGAAAAAGGGAGAATCTGGAAATAATGGCATCCAGTATTCTCCCAGAAATGACGTTGCCATCATTAAAAGTGAAAATAAATGGAAGGCTCCGAACAGCATTAATTGATTCTGGATGCTCCATTACTGTGGTTCATGCTGAGTCCGCGCATAAGCTTGTGTTAAAAAGTCAAAAACTTATCACAACTTTGGGAGGAACTGTGCAAGTGCTGGGTGAAATGGTAATCAATCTGGAAATCGATGGAATACACCGGATGGTTAATTCTCTAGTTGTAAAAGAAAAACCATTTGGGTTTGATTTGATTTTTGGAATGAATGCAATTAAAAAATTTGGAGGAGTTATCATTTATGGTAATAAAAACTGTAACGTCCGAATGTTAGCATGTGACAAAGCGAAATGTGGTGCCGTTACTACGACGAGAAAAAACGAAAACGAAATAAACGAATTAAAAATTGATGTTATTAATACGACAAGAAAAAGCGAAAACGAAGTACAAAAAATAAAATGTGATGTCAAAAATACAACAAGAAATGAAGAGAACGAAAGAAACAAAATAAAACATCAGGACTTCACAGCAAAGTTCGACGGAAAAAAATGGACGGCATCATAGAACTGGAATAAAGAGCCTGTAATTGATAATACCATTTGTGAATACAAGATGAACCAAGAGCACGAACGTAGTTACCGTAAAGAAATACGTGAATGGATTGACTCTGGTATTCTTGTACCATATAACGAACTAATATTGGGACCACCAAAAGTATTGATACCGCTTATGTGCGTAGTGCAAGAAAACAAGGACAAAAAGGTACGTCCAGTGGGAGATTTCCGAGCTCTCAACGAATTTGTAAATTGTCAAACGGCAAATGCAGACGTTTGTCAAGAAAAACTGCGTTGCTGGAGAAAAATAAAAAATGCAAAAATTGTCGATCTTAAAAAAGCCTACCTCCAAATTCATATTGATAAAAAACTTTGGCCATATCAAACGGTGATTATAAACGGTATTGTTTTACCAGGATGTGTTTTGGCATCAATGTAGCTCCAACAATAATGACCACAATTCTTCGGCATGTGCTCAATTTAAATCCAACCGTAAAGAAATCATGTGATAACTACATTGATGATATATTTGTGGATGAAAGTGTGGAAACTGCGAAAAATGTAGCGAAGCATCTGCTTAAATTCGGATTACAATGTAAACCTCCATAAGATCTTGAACAAGGACGTGTCTTAGGATTGAGAGTCGAAAGAAATAAAAATGGGGAACTGGAAACGAGACAATGTGGTACAATTCGAATCTTTAAATGCAGTCACACGATCACAGCTTTTCAGCCAGTTAGGCAAACTTATTGGACATTACCCAGTGGCAGAAAGTTTGCGTTTACAAGCTTCATACATCAAACATTTAGCTGGAAATATACCTTGGTGTGATTTTATTTCTGAAGGTTGTAAAGAAAAACTGAAAGAGTTGCTTTACCGTGTGGAATAAGAGGATCCGGTTGGTGGAAAATGGCTGGTACCAGTTAATGGAAAAGCTGAGCTTTATTGTGATGCATCATCTATAGTACTTGGGGTAGTCCTGCTCATTGGTGGAGTAGTTGTTGAAGACGCAGCATGGCTACGGCCAGCGAGTGACACACACCATATCAATATAAGTGAACTGGATTCTATACTTCGAGGACTAAACTTAGCTAGTAAGTGGGGCATAAAAGAGTTAACAGTATACAGTGATAGCAAGAGCACCGTAGGATGGTTAAACGCAGTTTTGAAGGAAGAATATCGCGTAAAAACTCTGGGAATTTCTCAATTGTTAGTACAAAGACGATTGAATACTATTAAGGTAGTGGCAAAAGATATTCAGATCGCAACACAATGGATTCCATCTGAGATAAATTTGGCTGATCGACTCTCACGAATCCCTCAAAAATGGTGCAGAACAGTGTGTGCAGCTGGATTA